GCGGCAAAGGGAGATTTGGCATTGTTTTTTCCACGGGTGCCTAGATTCCATAGGCATTCAGTGGAAACGGAACCCAAAGGTCACTTGTAAAAAACTTCCTCCATTCAAGACCTTTATGCCTTCAAAATCAAAATTGCATTGGCCAACATTGTGTCCTAAAGCTGCAGAATGAACACACAGTTCAGAGCTGAACTTCAAGGTGCAGTGAGAGTTAGAAGGATGGGGAAGCCCTATTCATTCAAGGTTAATAAAAGAGTTGAATTTGAATCTTCACTTCAAAAGGGCGGGAGATGATGGAGGCAGAGGTTTGGTTCAAGTCCATCTTTAGTCAATGCAGAAGCTTTCTCCAAGAAGGAGCCTCTGACTTGTGAAACTTGCAGACACATCCGTTCAACTGAAACCAGCTGGTTGCTTTTGGTGATCTTGCTAGCCAGCTCCCAATTATTTTCATTTAAACAAAGCAGCTTAGCTGCTTCTTGGCTCATCTGCTCTTCTTACTTTTTAATTGTAGGGAAGTCAAAAATAAAGCAGGCTTTGACAGTTACATTGTTTCACAAAACAAACTACAACACAGGTAAAAGCCATCCCATATGCTTCTGGTCATGCAAAGCTGAGACCAGCAGGTAACTACCCTGATGGCATCCCTCTCTAGTCCCTTAGCTGTCAGCAGGGGCTGAGGAAAAAAGTCCTCTCAGCCCTGAAGGGTCAGTTGTAGATTCTGCCTGTCAGTGTCAAATGGAGGAAGGAGGAGGGCCCTTATATAACACTAAACTTGCATTGCGAGCAGTGGTGCACAGGAGCAACGCTACTCATGAGTATCTCCACCAAAGCAGCTGGGATTCTTCCATAAAAAACACAGATGCACTGAAACTGCTCACCAAACATAAGGACCCAGCAATGACTGTGGGTCCTCTGCTACTGCTCCAGCACAGACAGAGGGGACAGCACTGGCATAGGCAGGTTTCTGGCTGCTAAAAGTTTGTTACTCCTGACAGTGCTGTGGAAGTGTTTTGCTATGTAATATGGCAGACAACAAAGTCGAAACCTAGCTAATACTTGGAATTGAACTGATGTAAGCAGAAGTGGACTACTTTCAAAATAGGATTTTTCAAAACAGAGTTTAGCCAGCAGTAAGCTTCCCTGACTCCTAACAGGCTAGTGAGACATGCAGGTGGCGGTACTGAAGAAACAAAAGGCTAAAACATTGGGATGGGGGCAACTAAGCGAGCTGGTTGCAAACAGGAGTGACATGTTTGATGATTAAGCACACTGCAAAGGAATCCTCAAGTCTTTGACCCACTCTCCTCCCCTTTTCTATAAATAGTTTCCCTTTCCAAGCGGAATCAAGACTAAAACTCTTGTGGTGAGCTCCACCTGAGTGGCAACATCATGCTATACTGGGAAGGCAGGAGAAGAAAAACAGTGATTCCTCACTTGAAGCAGCAATCTGAAGACTAGAAATTCAGCGCACTGTTGGCACACAAGCCTGCTCTCAAGTTGTGGAAGAATCTCCTGTCTTGGCAAGGAGCCTATTACATGGGTAAACCTCATGTTGAGGCTGATCCAGTGCCTGCTAAAGACAGGAGGAACATTTCCACTGGTGTCTGGGAACCCTGAATGAGGCTTTACCTTTTCGCATAAGAAGTAAATGACATCTTTCCTCCAAAATCCACCACTGTTCCTGCTCCAATGGCAGTGGGAAGATAAAGTCAAATGGACACTGTTTTTCTGTTTTATATAAAGCATCACCTGACCCTGTTCAAGACAAGATGAGATGAGATGAAATCACAGTAAAAGCATCAGGAAATTGCCAAAACTCTCCCCATTGCTGCACTTGTATAGCCTCACCAATAGGAGCCTCAGAAGAAAGACAAGGAGATGGGTTCCCACTGATCAGACATGAAGGATGCAAAATTTGGTATTTCCTTATAAAAAGACAGGTCCCCAGAGGAAATGTAGAAGTCTTAGGTATAGAATACCAGTGTTTGTATGAGTGCAAACAGCTAGAAAGGGATCAGAGACTCCACGTACAATGCTGCTTTATCATCTTGCAGAGGCTTCCATCATCACCATATCTGAGTTCCTTTGTATTTTCTCTTGCATACTTTTTGGCCCTGTGTTCTGCCTAGTTTTGAATTAAGCAATGATTCTTTTGCCTTTTATTTTGGGACTCTATTCCACAATTAATCCTAGCCAGCTTTTTCAAACAAGAAGTTCACATGTCAGGAAAATGACATAATTGTTTTTCTTTACAGTCTTCATGACATGTTCATTATATCAGTAGAAAAAGGTTGTGTTATTCATTTACTCAAACTACATTTATATAAATGATTTATTAAACATTTATAGCCTAAGTAATTATGAGAACCCCAAAAAGTGTTGAAATTCTTAAACTTGTTCCTTATTTACTGAGCAGCACAACCTTTAAAATTTAATCTTATTTTGATGGCAGAGGCAGCCATCTTATCTTCACATCTGCCTGTAAAGCACCAAGCTCAGATAACTCCAGCAAGTAATAAGTGAAATTTCATACCTGGAAAGCTTTTGGTGGCATTCAACCTTAATTTTAAACTTCAACATCCTGTTCTACTTGTGTGCTTTCTACAATCCTAAATCTTGCTTTAGCACTTACATGAATTGCACACACAAACATTATGCACAGATAATTATTTCAATAATCTAGGCCATGCTTAGCTGTAGTTTCTTAAAGAAATTTAAAAGAAAAGCTTTCTTTATAAAAATTTTTTTCTCCTTCATAAAGAAAAACTACTGTTTACTTGGAAAAAATATACCATTCAGTAGAGCTTTCTATTGAAATGACCCAAAATAATTATTATACCACTAATTTTCAGAAGGTTCTTCTCAAACAGCTGCAATGTAACTTCTTTAATTTAGTGGATTTACTTTAAGTAAGGTGATACAATTCACCACTCCATTTCATGGCTTCACCGGAGCCGTAAAACCAGAGTCTCTGCCTCTGATACTCCTTCAGAAAGAGAATGGAAATACTTTACTTGCTTATTTTGAAGATAAATATATGTTTGTGTTTCAGGAGCTGATGTCAGACAAGAGTCTCTGCCAAAACGCTCATCCCCTTTGTTAAAATGTTCCTAGCTGATGTGCTAGAAAAGTGTCCAGAAATGAAAAAAATCATTCTCCCAGAGTTGCAATTCTCATTAGTATTTGAGCACAGTATATTCACATAACAGGAAGCTTAATATTCACATTTTAGAGGACATTTCATGCTTTGCAGAGTGCATTGCAGGGAGTGCTTGCTCACTGTTGAAATATGGTTCTCTCTCTAGTGGATGCCATCAGGCCGGTGGATTAAACATTACAAATCATTTAGAGAACACATTGCCACAATATACCATTGGTCAAAAATAGATCAGCCTCTGATATGACTAATAAGAACATTCTTAACGTATGTTAGGAAGGAAATAAAATGAATGTTGATTCCTCTACCTCAGAAAATCAGCCCAGCATATATCAGTTAGGTCAGGAAAGAAAAATCTTCCTCTAACAAACAGCTATGAACTTCTTTCAACCTTCACCTATACTGGCTGTTGTTAGAAGTAAAGCAGAGACAAACAACTAGTCTAAGCTACTCTCATGATGAAGAACAGAAAAACAAGAGTCAGAAATGAATGGAACAATGGAATAATCATTTGTCCCAATTTAATCTCATGTCATATTTTGTCATGCAAATCATGTCAAATTAATTTGAATTTTCAGTCAGAAGGACTAATCTGACAGATTTAACCCAGCCTTGAGATGACCATTTGATTATGACAGGGAGAATATTACTAAAACAGAGGACATGCGGAACTGTAAAGTGAGGAGCTGGTTATGGGCATATAGGGAGGTTAGCAGCCTTTCAGTGACCGTCTAGGGAACAGTATCATGTAAGGTTTGCACAAATGATGTCTAAAAGTAGACAGAAGCATGCAAGTTGAAATTATGTGACCTTATCCAGTTAGTGAAGATTGGGATAACATGTAGGAAAAACTGAGGACCAAGTAACAAAAGTGGAGCAGGACTTAGTAAAGCAAAGTCATGTACTTGGGGATTAGTAAGATTTTCTTTGATACACTAGTAACTGAACTGCAAATGACAAAGAAGGGAAAATGCCCAAGTGTATTATTTAATTATAAACTGACATATAATCACATGTGATAATGTCGTGAAAAACTACAGCATAATTCTGGGGTATACCAGGCAAAGTATATACCAGTCAAATCTGGGAAGTGCCATGACTATTTCACAGGACATTGGAGAGCTTCTTTCCAGACAATTGTCTGTAATTCCAGTCACCCACATTAAAAAAAATTAAAATAATTACAATTAAACCCAAAATTTAAACTGGAACCAATGCAGAGAAGGGCTAAGGTGAGTAGGGAAGTAAAGACGCTACTTTACTAGAGGACACTAACAGAGCTTGGCTTCTTCAGCTCAACAAAGCAAAGGCTGAGACACCAGATAATTGCTTTCTATATGGAGTCAGGAAGCAAGTGCTAGAGAAGAAAACACTATTTAAACTTAAAGTTGGCACAGGAACAAATGGGCATAAGCTAGCTATTGAAACAATTTAGCCTAGAAATCCTAAAAAGGATGCAACTCATTGGAAGAGCTGATCGTGGAACAGCTTTCCAAAAGACATTCTTGGCTGTTGCTCCAAGCTAGTTTTAGATTAATACTTGTTCAAACTGATGAAAGATTATGTGATGTTGGGCCTATGACAGCAGCAAAGTGTCCACTTCAGCCCTATCTTATTAATTAGCAACAGCAAGAATACTAGGGCAGACTCACTGAAGGAAGGCCTCATACCATCTTTAACATTCAGAGAGAGACAGAAGATGCCAGGTTCTAAAAGCTCATTAAATTGCTGCACACTGAACAGATGCCATAAGTTTACCTGCTGAGGACTTGCACACTGGGACAGATCATGGTACCGTTGTGCCAGTATGAAGGATTCTCACCATCTTTTCTTTCCTTTGCAGATGTTTGTGAGGCTTTAAATGTGACAGTCTCTCCAGGACCAACAGTGCGATACTCCGAGGGAGACAATGCTACTCTTTACTGCCACATTTCTCAAAAGAGAAAGACAGACAACTTGCTGGCTGTGCGGTGGGTCTTCGCTGCATCACCTACCCAGGAGTATCTGATGATCAAAATGACAAAGTTTGGGTCTGTCCAGTATTATGGAAATTATACTCATAATTTCCACAAGCAAAGACTTCATCTTCTTAAAGACAAACATGGAACTATTTACAAATTTCTTATTCTAAGCCTCCAGCAAACAGATCAGGGACATTATATATGCAAAGTCCAGGAAATTGGCAAACACAGAAATAAGTGGACAGCGTGGTCAAATGGCACAGCAGCTACTGAAATAAGAGGTGAGGGACTACTGATTTCAATCCTATCATTTTTCTTGTCCCACGATCCCTTTTTACGTTTCTTGCAAGTTCATCCATAAGACATTTGAAGTTAGGTTACTTTTTAAGTGTTTTCTGTGGATATGAGAAGAAAACCTAATACTCAACTTCTTTACTTACATATTACAATTTAAACATTATTCATCCCATAATAAAATGTAAAGAAGTGAGAAGACTCGTAGATTTGTAGAAGATAGTCTATTTCCTTTGTCTTTTACTAGAATAGCACTAATTAAAACTCCTTTACATTCAGTTACAGGTCTGTGGTGGGTTGACCTTGGCTGGATGCTAGATGCCCACCAAACTGCTCTATCACTCTCCTCCTCAGCAGGATGTGGGGGTGAGAAAATAAGATGGAAAAAAATGTCGTGGGTCTAGATAAAGGCAGTTTAATAAGGCAAAACCAAAGGCTGCATGTGGAAGCAAAGGAAAACAAAAGATTTATTCTTTACTTCCCATCAGTAGGCAATGTCCAGCCACTTCCTGGGAAGTAGGGCTTCAGTATGCATAGCAGTTGTTCTGGAAGACAAACATCGTAATAACAAAATCC